CGTTTATGACATTTATAATGTTTAAAAAAATAAAATGTTACATTTTACTTTACACGGTCTTTAAGCAGCTTAAAGAAGTAGCTAAAGTTATCACAAAAAAGAGAACTTAGCTGAAAATACCTAAGAAAAACTTAAATTGCAGAAAACAACTGAAAGGAGCATGGACAGCTTAAATTGGCAGAAAGAAGCTGATTGAAAAAAATGAACAGAATAACTGAAAAGAGCAGAAAAATAGCTGAAAAAGCAAAACAAATAAAAAAAGCTATTAGCAATAAATAAGCCAAAGAAAGCATTAGCACAAAGAAGCAAAACAAAAAGCAGAACCAGAACAAAAGATGTACCTAAAGCGCAGGAGGATGAAAACAGCTATTAATTTTCAATGAGAACAAAAATGACCAAAAAAGCTAAAATATCTCAAAAAGTATGAATTGCTGAAATTCGAAAAGTCATAGCAGGAATTTGCTGAAGGAGATGAACATTTTGACACACGAACTGTTGAAATCGCACAAACATTATGGAACGGGATACGTGCTGAAAAACACGCGGAAGAAAAAGTGATCTCAAAAGTATGAGTGCTTGATACACACAACTAGTATCTTACCTGCTGTAGATGGCTTTTTGAAAGTGGAGACATATTCTGACCAGAACCACGTGACGAAAAGATCCGAAACCAAAGTGCTGCCATCCTAAAACAACTTCAAACTCAAAAATTTGCTGAGGCTATTTTGTACATTTTTTCTACCGCCGTCAGTTTTGATTTACACAACTATTCAAGAAAAAAATAACTTTATTTCACAGGTGCTACAGCTAGATGCTGCTCTATACAWGCTGGCAAATGACTATAAAACCATGTAAACAACTTGGAACTATCACTTTAAAGTTCAAACGGTCCAAAGGAAAAAAATGTTGCCCACCTCTAACCTAAAGGACTCTTCTGAAGCGTTTGAGTCATCGGACCTCCCTGTACTTCGTCGATGCTGGAACCTGCTTCAAGTCACGACGAGAGTTTGTTTTATGAAGAATTAGAAACTTTTCAAACATCATCAGCAGTTTGAGACGTGTAAAAAAAACACAAAACCTCAAAAARTATGCTTTTACTAAGTAAAATACTTTATTTTCAAAGCAAGAAGACAGAAACCAGTTTAGTATTTACACAGGCGGAACAAAGAAAGGAAATCAGATTTTAAAAAAAGTGGAATAAATCTGTTGGTGTTTCCAAAGACACGGCAGTAAGAAATGTGCATCCGGACATCTTTTACGATGAACCCTTCAAACCTGGAGTTCTGCTCTGTAAACCGGACCAGAACCGTTACGGTTTGAAGAATTCTTTACAGCTCAGCCGACGTCAGCTGAAGGGGAGAACAAAGTGTTTCTTAAGATCCGCAGCGCCAGAGTTCATGATTTATCAACAACCCAGAGCCCAAAATAGAGCGACGATAAAATATGGATCATCTCATTTACACCCATTCCTCATTCACTAACCATCCACGTTTACAAAAATAGTAACTCTTTCATTTATGAGAGGATTTATTTTTGGTAAACGCTAAAAAACAAAAAAACAAAACACAAAAAAAAAATCAGCAAGTGRCGGCTGGTAAAGGCAACAAATCACTGCAAAGGCAGTTAGCTTAGYTTAGCATAAAGACTCAAAGCAAAGGGAAACAGCTAGCCTCGCTCGGTGCTGCAACAGATAAACGTAACCAAAGTTTAACAGCAGATATCACGTCATGACTTCTGATTCACACATAAAAAGAATGCAGATGAGTTAAAACATTTCGCACATGTCCAATTTATCATGGAAGAAACAGGAAATGGCAGCTTTTCTTCCAATTTACTGTGAAAAACAGGAAGATTTTATCGACGCTGTAAGTCTAGACATTGCTACATGACAAATATATATATATATATATAAGAGTACAAATAAAATAAACAACACAAGCTTGTATCAAAATAAGATGAATGCATGAGTGGAATAGAATAAAAATATTTAATAGCAACAAAAAAAAAGGTCTATAAATACAGAAGTCATTGTCCTGCTATAAAGACCAGTGCGTCTTCGTTATCAGGGTTTCTACAGGTACAGTGTTATGGATCGGGGGCTGCAGGAGGGTCTCTCCTCAGGAGGTCTCGTTGACCGAGCGATCCAGCTCTATCACTTTACTGCTGCTCTCGTTCAACCTCGGATCCAGAGTCCTGAGAGCCGGAACGCAGAACGTCTTTAACAAACTCAAACCGGACCAAAAAARAAAAAAAAAAACAAGCGTGAAGCCAGGAAACCACCAGCTCACCTCGGCAGGTCCAGCAGCAGGTTCTTCTGCGTCTCGTTRCTTTTATTCCTAAACGGCGGGTGCGTCTCCGCCCTGCCGGGCTCCGCCCCGAGCTTCTGTTGCTCCGAGCGCCGCCACGCCGCCATGACGACGGCCGGCGTGTCCTCCCACCGCTCGGGATATTCGCCGCCCAGGCCGAGGAGGTGGGGCTGCTCCTCTTCGAAGGTCGATAACAAACTCCTGGACTTCACTGAAACCAAGAAATGAGACCAGATAATTACAGTTTGGACATAAACTGTCTCGTCTTTGTAGTGAATTCTATTGAACGCAAGTTGAAAATTATTTACAAATCATCATATTCTGTTTTTATTTCTGTTTTACACAACTTCACCAGAACTGTTGTAAAAAAAACAAAAGCATAAAGCATCAGGTCTTTACTTTGAATGAATAACTGGAGGTTGTATGAACAGGATACGACAGGAAACTGAATTGGATTGTTAAGAAAATTAGATCTGACCCCATTTACAAAAATGTGTGTTTCAGTGTGTGTGTGTGCGTGTGCGTGTGTGTGTGTGTGGGAGGTAATAAGGATGCAGTGAAAGGTCAACCCTTCAGATTGGTCTCGGAGGCTGTTACTGCTGAGCTGGAGGTGGAATCTGATTAGTGCTGATGTTATAATGGACCACCAGAGTTTTATGGGCGGGAACAAGTGATTCTTTACAGCAGCGCCGGGAAATAAATAAATAAATAAAAACTCTCAATTTGATAAAAATAACTAACTCAGTTTGTGTGCGTCTACTGCCAATAACACTGAATACTTTTGTAGGCAACTATTTTATTTTGAAAATCTTTCGCATTTGTCTTAAATTTCATTTCGACGTATTTCTAAAAAGTCTCGAGTTCGGCAGACTTTAATCTCGAACAGAACAGACATTAAGTGGAAAATATTCTGCCCGAAGAGGCTCAGCTTTTTATAACTTATGTTCCTCTGGCTTTTCTTTTTACAGCAGTGAGAGCATGTTAGTGACGAGACAAGCTGCAAAAATGTGYAAACAGGCCGACTTCTTTTAAAGGGGACCTATTATGCAAAGTTCATTTTTTAAAGGTTTTTTTTTTTT